ACACATCAAGCTTCGTTCCCTGCGCTCAGTCAACTGGCGCTGGATGTGTTTGCGATACCAGCAATGGCTACTGATTGCGAAAGGTCGTTCAGTCTGGCAAAGTTGTCCTTGACATCACAAAGACTTTCGATGAGCCCAACGACGCTGGAGGCACTCCAGTGCCTCAAAAACTGGACGAGACATGGTGCTGTGAAGCTGGGGTCAGTGGTCTGGTGCCGGGGAGCAGACAGCAGCGTTGGTAGCATGAACGAGTAGTCAGCATTTCAAATATTTGATCAAATATTTCAAACAAACAAATATGGCTTCAAAATATATCAAACAAACAAATATAGGCTTGGATTTGATTTGTTTGATTTGAGGGCAGCGCTGACTCGGTGAGCCTTCCATTCGGGCCCTGAAGGAAGTACAAAATGGAAACTTGGTGCGAGGGGGCCAAACACATCTCTAGTTCGTGAGCTGCGGTCAAAGCTGGAAGCCCGTCGTGTTTCAATGTCGCGAGCTTCGTGATAGTCTGCAAGAATGACAGTAGGTTTCGAAAATGGACCACCGAGAAAGACTTGACATATTGGGGAGTTGAAGGATGCACTATTATCACGCAACCAAAGGTTTATGCTTCTCCCTCACGACACATCCGTAAGCATGTCCGGTATGTCCCCTATTAATCGTTCAGCTGACTTCTTTTGGTACGGGATACCAGGGAGCGGTGCAGGGAGGCTACTTCTGTAAAGAAGATAGCCAGCTGCCATAGCGCCAGTGACCACCACGAGGATAATTTCAATTGTTATAGCAATGTTAACCTGGTCCTAACGGAACAAAGGGTATATTAGGAGAAGTCAGGCAAAATATCTATGAATCTAATAACACATCTCGCACCTCATGTATAAATATCTATGGGACTGGTGATCAGTGTTGTGGACTATTTCGGTACTACGGGTAGGTGCTAACTAAGCAACGGTCAGTTTGTACGAATGCCTAGCGCCTTATCGAACCCTACATTGGAGGTCTTTGTAAAGAGTCAAACAGACGCACTACTGTACTGACTCGGCGACAATAAAAAGCATAAGGCGAGGAATCCATTGTAGTTGCCGAAGATGACTGATCAGTCCCACGATATCCCATCTATGCACATTCAGAATGGCTATTACAGTACAGGATATATAAAGAGGAAGGAATAAGGTAGATATAAAGTCAATGCATTTAGGGACTAGGCTTCTAGGCCGACCAGTCTGGGTTCTTGTCTACGTAGCTCTATACAGTACCACGCGCCAGTCCTTTGATACTTCAGAAGTACTTTGTCGGTTCTAGCACTAGGCAGCCACACCTGATCCACTCAGCCGGTTTATAATATCAGTTTTATAAGAGCGACACTCGTTCCGCCTTCTCCGGGTACCAGTGTACCCTGGTACTGTAGCAAATAGCAGCGGGCATAATGCAGCGATATATTGAGCCGCTGTCAGCAAGCTGTGGTGGCGGCGATGGTGATGACTTAGCAACAACGTGCAGAAGTAGTATTACTTGGCGACATCTAAGAGTGGCATACAGGACCGTTACGAGACCGCCCCACAGCCTGTAAACAGCCAAAAGTGGCCGTTTTACGCACACCGCGCTTCATTTGGTGAGGCGTGATTTAAATCTCCTCTGGCGACCTTCGTTGGCCCCACGGTGTCCAAACGAAAGCTGATAATTCAAACTAAGTAGCACATATGGATGGAAAATTGTTTATGCATTAGCAGTTACGCTACGTCACATGGGCAGCCAACACAGTACAGTACAATACCTCTACATATACATGATAATGAAAGCTAGGTGCTTAGTTATAGCGATGGCGCGTAATCAGGCCGCGGCTCCTTGAAGCATCATGCAGAAACGGTGTACCTGTAACTGATCCTGAAGCGCTACCACTATATATCAGAGGCATATCCTGGGAAATCAAGTCCTTATTCCGTCTGTTGCCGTATTTGTTAGTGTCTAGATAAAGTCAGTACAAAGATAAGACACACGACTCGCTTTTATGATTGGTTCGACTCTTCTTTTTACTACCCTGCTGGCTGCTGCGCCAGCTGCAAATGCTGGCAGCCTATCATCCAG